GGGGGGGTGATGGGTGCGCTTGTGTGTGTGTGTGTGTGTGTGTGTGTGTGTGTGTGTGCATGTGCGTGTGTGTGCACGTGTTTTTTTTTCTGTTTTCTGTGTTTTTCATTTTTTTTAACATACATATGAACTTTAAAAATAAAAATAAAAAATGGGGTTGTAGATCTCCAAAAGATCTGCAATCTTTTTTTTTCGGTTTTTTCTTTCTTTTTACGTTTTTGATTTTTTAAAAATATAGCAAAAATTCAAAAAATAAAATAAAAAACATACGGTTGTAGATCTCAAAGTATATTTTTTGTTTTGTTTTTTTGAGCATTTTTTACCCCCCTAAAAAATATACCCGCGCCCGCTCAAACCCCGCTCAAGGCGCTTTGAGCGCGGGATTGAGCGGCGCTCAAAATCTTTAGCGTATACCGCGCGCTCAATCAGCGCGCGGTTTCACAGCTCCAGCTCTTTAGTGTAGCTCAACATCAGATCCCTGAGAAAGTGGAAGCTAATGGCCACGAGTATCCCATCTCTCCATGCGGTCCTGAGATAATGGATGAGCATCGATGTCGGGATCTTGATTGAGGACATGTTGGGAAAGAGAATGTCAGGACGCGCCAATAGGTACCATACAGCGTGATCAAACCACAAAGGGGTATCTCCGCAATCCTTGCTCCTCTCCTTCTTCCACTTGCACTTAAGGTATGGCCTTCCAACACTCCATACCTTCCTCAAGGTTCTGAGATCAGGCTTCCTCTCTTGCCTGATGCCCTTCTGCAACATCCCTGAGTTCGTTTTCCCACACTTGTCAGGGTCTAGTTCGCGCATGGGAGGGAACCTCAGATCCTGGGGGTCCAATGGGCTGACCCTCCCGCAGTATTTCAGCTTCTCCTTGAGTATCTGCGTTCTACATTGCTTAACTTGCTCATTCATGACTTCCCTAAGAACTGGAGTGCTCGAATGGAGATCGGTGCAAGATGGTTGAAGGTATCCATCTTCCAGATTGTGTGCCTGAATCCCGTGGATGTATATTCGACCCAGTAAGCGGATGCGAGGGGTGCAAATGCAGTGTACTCGTCGCGTTCCGAGGCATCGCCCCCTGTTTTTCCGGATGCGGGTGGGGAATCCTGGGTGGCGGCTCGCCGGCTTTTATGGCAGCGATTGCGCGCTCCATCTTAAGTCTTTCCTCCTCCTCAATTGCGAGATCATCACAGTGCGCTTAAGGATTGTCCCGAGTGATCGTAGAGGTATCTGTCCGAGTTTCGGGGACCTATGTTCCCCCCTGGCCGCAGCCGAGTTCGATCGTGGCCGCGGCGGTCGGCCGTGGCCGGGCCCCCCCCGGCCACGGCCGAACGCGGCCGATAATTTCGGCCGAGGCCGCGGCCGATCGGGGAGGGGGTTTGGGGGGAGGGGAACGGGTTTCGAGTCGCGGGGGGTCCCCCTACCTCCCCGCTAAAAAAAAACATAAAAACTTCGAAAACGGGGGTGTGGATTTCGAAGACTACCAAAAACAATTAAATGAATAGAAAAAAAAAATCATTGATTGACTGTTTTTTTTTTATTGATTGATTGATTGATTGATTGATTGATTGATTGATTGATTGATTGATTGATTTGTTGGTTGGTGGGGGAGGGGTCCTCCCTCC